CCACCCGCCCGCCAAAGGTATAGAATACAACATGAGTTCAGTTGCACGCACTGTAATACTTTCACTTTTTCAACCGGGAAAGTGAAAATGGTCTTGGACTTAAGACCGATCTACCTGACCCCATCTCACCTTTGCCCTAGCATCAATAAAACATGGGGGTCGTCTGAATTTCTGAGCTGAGAGCAATATTGACGACATTTAATGTAATGTTTTGAAATATTTGTGATAATAAATCTTAGATAAGATGTAACTCCATGATGCAGAGTCCTACAGAAGCTGACAGCTGCTCTTTTCGTCAAGTTATTCAGTTCCGTTTATGGAAGCCGAATACGCTTTACTACGTTCAATACAGGCCACTATTAGTCCCCGAAGTTCAGTGCGCATCCTCAAAACAACTTTCTTTAAAATACTTTCTAGAATTATACTTCCATCTGCGCCAGTTTTTTACAAGTGATCCCTCACATTCAGGTTTCGGACAAAAAAAATTTTATGCATTTTTTGATTCCCGCAATTTGTGATTTTATCATCCTAATAATAAATTATTTCGTGCACAGTAAATATTACGGAGCTCCTGTCACCTCTCTCTTCAGTGTAGATGTTTTTTCCTCAGCAATTTATTCTTGCGTTTGGGTATGAAAACAAGTTTTGCTGTCATACATCGTAATTAGTTTCTTGTTGAATGTGAAACAACAACACAGTGAATCTGATTTTGACTTTCGGTGTTTTGGTGTTAACAAATGCACCTTCAGAATTAGCTACATGAAAGTTTGTATTTACTTAGCTAACAAAAGCATTATGAATTTTTAATTTTTATCCTGCTTTCGGATGCTTGCACCATGCGGATGTGGGTTTGTTGGTGAAGTCCCAGAGTGATAGACTGTCTTTATCATCAGGGCTGAATTAAATCCTGAATGTATTAATTAAATATATTTCAAAAATGACATTCATTCAGGTTATATCTGACGCTTTTAACTGAGTTCGAATGTGTATTAGTGGAAGTTTATCTAAAAATATATCACTAAATCCTGTAATTATTAATGTATAGATCCTAGGAATGTAAATTAATGGAAAGTGTAAAAATTGACCACTAAATAGTGAAATCAGTAGTTTATATTTCCTGAAAATATGCATTAGTGTGTAAACGTAGAAATAAATCACAAAATTCTGTGACTGTTAATTTATAGTACCTGTAACCCTAACATACTAACTGAAACATTAGAAAAAAATAGACTCTCTTCGTGATTTCTATTCGGTCATAATTTTATATCAAGATATTTCATTTTTAACATGGAGTAAAGCATTTTTTTTAAATTCCTTCTTCAGTTCCATTGTCCGTATCTCTTCCTTCTGAAGCGGTTCACCGTAATAAAATTATAGAATACTCGTAGCATTACTGCATACTGCACAGCATACGCACAAAATGTATTATAAGAGTATTTTTACAGCAGTACTAAACCGGTGTCATTTATTTGAATGGATTTCTTACCCTTATATGAAGTGGTCATTATCATCGTGTTGTTACTACCAGTGTATCACGAGGAGGACAATTTCAATAAAAGACAATGGTTGAACGAACTCCGTACATTGTCGGTGTTTTTTTATGAAACGCGGCACGTACAGGATAAATACAGGCTAAAAAATACCAGTTCTCGATACATCGAATATTGTTATGACCCTCCGCTTTGCAATAAAATGATAATAACTACCATTAAACTAAATTGATTCTATTAACGTGGCCGTAAGGAATGCAGATATGGGGACGCGAATATATTTTAGCTTATGGACAATTTAGGAATACTCGGAACATTTACAAAGTAAAATGTCTGTAATGAATACAGTACACATAATCGATTAAAATGAAATGTTGTACATGGTAAGCCTAATAAGACGACTTCTTGAAAAAGGGTAGTGGATATTTCTGGAACAAAACGCTCAGTTCAGATATATTCAAAACATTCCGTACAGAAGAAACACTCATACGAAATCCAGTTAAAAGAATACGTTTTTACAATCTAGCGGACCAGTAATTGCCTACGTACCCTGCAACCTGTGTTATCTCTTTGCAGCTGTATTAACTGCACTAATGACATAAAACAAAACTGCTTTTCCCGTGATAGCCACTGGCCTTCTAGCTTTTTATGTAGGAAAAGATTTGAAATAACCCATACTTCTAGGCAAAGTTACCAACTTCTTGCTTGAAACCTTCTGTAAAATCAAGAGAACAGAACATACTTTATGAGTGCACCTAGTATATTATTGCAGGATAAATGTACGTTATTAAACGCTACGTATTATATGAATAAGAAGTCTTATCTGACTAAATTCACAGAGCCGAATGGCAGTGTGCTTTAATATAGTGCCAGAAACTGTCTTCGTGTCGTAAGAGGCAAGCACTCGTTATACAGACTAGCACCGTCATGGAACGTCGCTGGTATTGCGCTATCTGAACAGCATAATGGCGAAATCCACATAATTTTAAACTCCGAAAGTAGAAATAAATAAATTCGGCGCGGTCTAATGTAGAAAGCACTGATTACAATTTCTTTGGACACCCAGAGTCAAAAGATTGCGCCAAAGCCATTTCTATAGGATATGTTTACTATACAAAATATATTATATAAAAACTTAGAGAGAAGCTTAAATTCTGTAATTTCTTGGTACAATTTAGTTTCTAATCGTGTATCGTACCGTCTCGTGTGTGAAAAAGCCCAAATATTGAAGTACGCAAAATATAAACTTGCCCTTCTCAAATTCGCAAAATTAATATACTCACTAGCCGAGTACTGAAGGAAATATTAGGACTGGATTTGCTAAATATGACTTATTCTATGCGTTCAAACACGGGAACAATTCATGTCTGAAACAAGTTTCCGTAACGTTATGTATGACCCGTGTAATCTCATTTGCATATTACATGCATTGGCTCGCAACTGGTTGGCATTCACGCCGATTATTACGCGGTCAGCCACTTGCGGTCCTCGGTGACCAATTCACTAGACCTCTCCTGTACTATTAGTACTATGGGCGACAACAATCCAAAGTTTCTCGTTATACTGAACTAGTACAATCCCTTATACTTACCAACACGTTACTGGTCTGAACTGTTTGCCAAAGAGATTGTCTTTATTGTTGAAACAAGAATTTTATTAACTTCCAACAACTACTAAAACTAAACAAAGACATTTCTCCACAAGTCATATTATAATATTTGTCATACCGTGGGACCAACTTTTAATACCTGTGTCGTAGAAGTCTGCCGCCTGGGATTGGAACCACTGTGTGACAGCCATCTCCGCCTCTCTGTCATTCTCAAAACGCTGACGCTGACGCTGACCGGACAGGAATTTCTTGAGGTGTAGGAAAAGATGGAAATCACTGGGAGCGAGGTCCGGGCTGTAGGGTGGATGATTAAACACCTCCCAGCTGAACTTCTGCAGGAGACTTGCTGTCCGTCGAGTCGTGTGCGGCCTAGCGTTATCACTGACCGCACTTCACAGTCGGCGGGAGCTGGAATAAGAACCTCCATCTTCAACAGCTGCAACGATGCTACTGTGAGAACGCGGGAAGTGCCGTTAGTGCATGCGCCATGCTACGTCATTGCTCTATCACGTACGCACAGTCGCTTCGCTCAATATAAGGTTTGCTAGCTGTAGGACGAGTGGGAAACTTACTTTTGGGACGCGCCTCGTACTTAAGAACCGTAACATCGTCTGGCGAAGTTCAAATCAATCTCCATGCATTTTTAAACTAACCAGAAATATGTGTATGACAAACGTCGCTCTGTGATTTCTTTATACCCAGCATACTTAACGAAGCCATTTCAACTTAGGAAGTCGTCACCTATTTCAGAAAGTTCCTTACACTCGCCGCCATTGGCATAATATGTTTCGCATTTTGGAAAGTGGACGTTACGGATCCAATGACGCCTAAATCCTATACGATGAGGCTACAGGAAGGTCGACTGGAGTTAAAACCGTAATTACATTAGAGTCGAGGCTAGCGTCGAATAATATGATGGGCCTACACTAGTATCTACGCATTAGTACAAGAAATTCACGCAAATCGATAATTTAGTTTGCTCTGAGCAGGAACTCACGATACGTAATTATAATATCGGAAGACTAATTGCTAGATTATAAACGTAATTGATTATGCAAGCAAATACTTGATTCAAAGCTTTCGTACAGCAGCTGACTGTTGACACTGCAGACTTTAACACTTTGTTCAGAAAAGCAAACAGCTGTCTTTTCCCTTCAGATTTTATAGCTATAATTTCTCCCGTGCGTGCTAAATGCCTCGTCCATCTTATTCTTGTTGATTTAATCGCATTTACGTTTGGTTAACAGTGCACATTATACATTATAACACAAATGATTTTAGCTGAAGAAGGATAGGACAGCCAGGCTAAATGTTAGCTTGCGAGAATGAAATGTGTTATCAGTACGCAAAGAACTAGCCTAACCTGACCTACAAGGAATACTGTGGGATAAACATCCGTCCTAATACGTGAAGTAGTGATTCTTTGTCTATACAACAACGCCTTTCCAAATACCGCACGTATATCGGTTTGTATGGTTTAGAAAGGTAGGATAATTATGAAACATGAGTTGAAAATGACTTGAAAGAAGAGACCATGCCCTCCTCTAACGTACGCGACTAAGGAATAACAGTTAGGAGAGTCCGTGTGCTGGTCTAGATCCGAACTCTAGGCCTCCTAAATACGAAGCAGAAGTACTAACCACTACACTGCCACTTTCGATGTCTGAATAAGGATAGCAGAAAACTGAAAGCGGGGAAAATTTCTCGGATATTATCACGAACAGATATAACGCAATCCCATATGATATCCTAAAACTATTTTTTGAAATTTATATTTATTTTTTTTTCAGAACTTCATATTCCAGGACTTATATTATGACGTCAGAATTTTGTTGCAGA